ATCTTGTGTGTTTGGTCATCCAGCAGCCACAGGAAGGAGTAAAACGCTGAAACGGTTTGGGGAGACTACAGTCTGGACCAGGCTAATGGCAAGTGCAGGCTGTTAGGGCTCACGTCAACAAGGTGGAGCGGAACTGTCTGTTGGGCTAATCACCCAACAGCTGACAAGTTTTACAATGTTATATATGCCTAAATATAGCTGTGGCCGTTGCCCTTATCCACTAAGATGTGTCCTGACTGTTTATTGGTAGGCAACGGTGAAGTTTGGTGGTTATATGGTCAGAGGTCATGTGTTTACAATATACAGGAACGGTGAGGAAATCTGATTACTCCCTGAATTATCTCTCTACCAATATTTGGCGTTATTCCCGTAAATCTTTGGTAACCACATGTCTACTAGCCCTGCAATCAAAGCTGATTTTGACGTGAGAGTCCCGATTTTCGGGTACTGTCCTGCCATCAAGGGTTTATTCCCTGGTGTCCCGATTCACAAGACGTCACTTTAGGAGCGTTTACGTCCAACCCTTTCCTGTAAGCACAGACAGGGGTATTTACTGAAGTGAGAATTCAAAGTGAATTCCAAATTTAAGGCCATAGTAGTTAAACTCCAGTCCAGATATTTCGACCTTAAATTTGAAGTTCCCTTTGAATTCTCACTATAGTGAATAACCTTATTAAAGGACCAGTATAGTGCCAGGAAAACATACTCGAAAACATACTCGTTTTCCTGGCACTATAGTGCCCTGAGGGTGCCCCCACCCTCAGGATCCCCCTCCAGCCGTGCTCTAGGGGGAGGAAGGGGTTAAACTTACCTCTTTCTCCAGCGCCGGGCGGGGGATTCTCCTCCTCCTCTCCTCCGCCTCCTCGGCTGAATGAACATGCGCGGCACGAGCCGCACGCGCATTCAGCCAGTCTCATAGGAAAGCATTCTAAATGCTTTCCTATGGACGCTGGCGTCTTCTCACTGTGAAAATCACAGGGAGAAGCGGCTGTCAATGAGACAGCTACTAGAGGCTGGATTAACCCTAAAGTAAACATAGCAGTTTCGTTGAAACTGCTATGTTTACTGCAAAAAGAGTTAACCCTAGCTGGACCTGGCACCCAGACTGCTTCATTAAGCTGAAGTGGTCTGGATGCCTTTAGTGGTCCTTTAATTGCTCAGCCACTACAGGTAGTGAATCTGATTATTTTTACCGCTTTAACTGTAAACAGGTCTTTCTACTTCTGAGTCTTTTGAATGTATCTTTGTCACGCTTCAGGGATGATCTGGAAGAAAATTCACTAAAAAAAAATAAATGTGCACACCTTTGTGAAAAATGCTTGTTTCAAGAAATAAATAAGAGAATTATCACCTGAGTAAAGTTACTAAAAATATCTGCACTATCTGCTTTAGCTGTGTGTCTGATCAGCACCCGCACTGGAAAAAAAACTCTATACAATGAAAGACGTTTTAATTCTGAATATAGGACAAATTCTGGGCCTAACACATGGCCTAACACACGGCCTGAAAATGGGCCATTTATGAACAGAGCTCTTTGTATGTATGCACGGTCTTCATCATCCGGTCACTAGAAATTTTCTTTCTAATTATCAATGTCTCTCCCACCAAGCCTTAAAGCCAGGCACTCTGACCTGGAGTATGTTTATTCAATATATGGTAACTACGACTGTGATATGAGAGAAACAGATGACATAAAAGATATAGTACAATAATTCTAAGCTGGGATAGTCTTATGATTGGACAGGTTATTCTGCTACTCTGCTCTGCACCAATCCAAGTGTCACATCTGGTCTCAAAGAGATTTATTTAAATAGGCTCCCTAAGCACCATAACTACTACAATTCATGGGTGCTGTTTTTCCATCAAACTGTTTTTTGTAGAGTGTATTGATAAAAATAAAACTGGGTTCTTCTCAGCGCCCATAGACCATTCTGTCAGGAGCCATGTGAAAAATGTGAATATTAAACTTTTATCGTTATCTGTACGAATCCGTCCAACCTGTACTTTGAGACTAGTCTGACAGCAGATGCCTATCATTGCATTCTATGGCTGGACAAATTCTAAACTTAGTCATGTAGAAGAGAGAAGGAGTTTTTTTTTAAATGAAGTTGTGTTTGGATTTTTATAATGGACGCCATTGTTTTGTGTGAAGGTTTTTTTCAAAGGTACATAAACCCACCAAGCAGAAATATTAAACAGTTTGTACCATAAAATATTGATCGTACATGTCACTGAAAAAGTTTGTCGTTGTTAAAAAAGGAAAAAAAATCTGGATGTGTTTTAATTAAACGACAAGTATAGTACAGAAGCACCTTGTTAATTTCGGTTTCGCAAAATCACGTTGTTCATTAATCACAGGTAAAAGTAAATAGTGGCAGAGTATTCAGTGATCTAACGCTGCCATTTCTCAATATTAAAAAAATTCTGCAAAGGGATTTAATAAATGTTGACATTTTGTCAGGACGAACTAGTGGCCCAACACGCAGAATTAAGTAAAACACGTGACAAAGACAAACAGTAACAACATATTACCGGGCCTTAGAATGGCCGGGATTAACATAATAGAATAAACCGTCACGAGCCGAGGTCAGGAATACAGAAAGGAACAAATACGGAAAGAACAAAGCCAAAGGGTCAGGGATACCAGAAATACGGGAAGTCAAGCCAAGATCAATAACCAATAAACAGTATCAGGAATGCACTCTCGGATAACCAACAGGATGGAAACCACAACAGGGCACTGAACAACTGCAGGTTTGGGTTTAAATAACCCATTCAATTCTGCTCCCGATCTGGTGCGGTCACATTGAGGTGCCAATCAGGCACGGTGACACATTTAAGATGTTTCCATAGAAATGCGCAGTTTAATTGTGATTGTTAAATAGAGTGCTATCCTAATGGTACTACATTTATATGTCCACAGCATGATTGCACCAACGCAAAAAAGAATGCCATTGTCATTGATGCCTCTAAGGTAAGGTGAGGTTTGGGAGCAGTAGGTTTTTGGGAGCATTAGCATCTGCCTTGCAAAGACGTCTCATTGAGCTGCATTGGGAAGTCTGTGATTGGACAGCCACAGAAGGTCTGGGCGGGGTCAGAAGGGGAAGGCTTGCAAAGGCTGCAGACAAGAGATCTGCAATTTTTGCAAGCTGGTTTTAGATATACCCCCATAGAATAAAAATGCCAAATTAAATGCATGCATGTTTCCATTTCGGGTATATCCACCAAATAGCGCCTTTTATTTATTTTTCATTTATTTATTTATTTTGGAGCTGCAATTATGCAAAATCCTCTTCATTACAATTAATTTTTCAGGTCAATATTTTTAAAGTGATTCTTTAAGAGGTTGGCTTTAGACTCCAAGCTGCATAGGCCCCAATCAGTGTTCCCCTGAATCAGACCTAAATTAAAAGCATTTTATTGAATTTGTGGTATAGCTGACCATTAAACAGCCAGGTAACCTCCAGTATAATCAATCTAAGTAGCTGTGTATCTACATAATATCACGCCTGCTACTAGTATGGGCTGAACTGGTTAATGTTAATGTTAATGACGAACCAATATAAATATTTCATCAGAGAATATACAACTAAACAAAACTTTTTTCCCCTTAATTTCAGTTAGCAGGGCTTTATGTTTGTGTACAGTTTAATGACATACATCTATTATTTTATTAAATGCGTGTGTACAAGCTTAGACAGTCTGCACGCTGTATAAACATCTATTTTCTAAACTCATTTATTGACTTGTATGTCATCATTATTCATAATTAAAGTGACTGCCTATTTGAAGTAAATGAACAAGTTACGCTTGGTTAAGCTTACATTTCCTCCAGTTTATTACTATTTGGGAAAGTCTGACATTTGCCGGAAAACCATATTAAGCATTTTAGTTGCAGTGCAGCAGATCTCCACCTGTAGGCGCTCTCCTTTCCTCTTTAATACTAGTAGGCATAAAATAGACTATGTAACAAGAACAAGTGATGTTGCACCCAATACGGTGAGCATACGCATCTCATTAAAGGTAAACAGTAGTACTTTGAGTTACCATTATGAAATTGTACACTGTCATCCAGAAGTTGTTACTTATTGGCATGTCGAGTGGCAGGTCAGAGAATACTGCTATTCGTAGTCAGTTTCAACTGGGCTATAGCTAGTCACCTTAAATGCAATGAACCGCTTATGATAAACCACTTAACCACTTCCCTTCTCCATTGTAGGTTGTTTAGTCAGTTGCGTGATTATCTAAATGATCAGTCTGTACTTGGTTCAAACGTATGTTTCTGAACTGTTCTTGACGACCAATACAAAGTATTCATGGTAATTTTAAACATTGTTAAATTTCAAAGATGTTGTATACAGAAAGTAAAAAATCCACAGAATCCATGTTTAAAATGGAATAATAAGGCAAAAAAGTGATTCTTTGCTGAATTAATTTGCATATGCTCAACCAGAATCCCTTGGGGTGGTAACATCACTGGAAATTTGAAATTTCTGTGGGAAAAGCAAGTCTTATGGTTGACTGGTGTGTGCAGATATGTGTTTAACAATGTATTGACTATCCACTGACTTCAGGTGGAAGGGATTTGCGACCTTTTCCCCACCATAACTTTCTTGGTAATTTTACATGTATATGAAAATCTCTGTGTGGACTAGGTGGATGGAATGGGTGTTTTTATATTAATATTGTAATATAAGATAAGTTTCATGAATTTAGGCAGGAGATTGTTTAAAAACACATCTGGATGGAACTCTTTTAATTTTGGTAATATCCGGGATCTAGAAACCAAGGCTGGATAATTTGCTGTGGGTACCATCTACTATGGATTCCATAACGGGATTTGTAAACTCTTTGGCTAAACTCTACCACACTTTGTATGCAGTCAGTTGTTGTATGGCAGTTGTTGAAGCCCCTGAGATGACCACTTAACAATACACGCATAGTTTATTATGTTGGAAAATTATATTTATTAATACCAAAAACATAAATACTAAAAAAGTCTCATTTTCTCCACTTCAAGCTTCACATCACCTTCACAAGTCCAAAGAAAGTCTTGCCCTCTCTATAATCTACGTGACGTGCGGGGATAACATTAACATACAGACGATCTCCACTTCTGAGTTTAGCAAGCCCTCCTTGGCTCAGACTGGCGTACCATGTGGTGGATCCCGAGGGTGGACCGACGACAGACTCCGTACCAGCCAGGAGGACAGATTCAACACCGGTGGAATGTTTGAAAGCGTAGACTTCATTGAAGAGGGTGATGTTTGCCTGTTTTCCTTCAAACCCAATCTGACAGTAAACATAATACAGACCATCATGGTTGACTACAAGGCTGAAGTTTTTGTATTCTACATTGCGGTGGGTGAATGCCATATCATATGTGTGATCCCAATTCAACGTATCGCCTGTGGAATTTATACCTGGGAAGGAATAGACATGATGAAACGTTATAAATGGTCTATTGTCAAGGTGATTCTCACATATTGCAAAGGAAACTAACGCACCAGAACTGTGTCCATTTTAATTTCTAAAGATCATATACACAATTCACATAGCCCTGACCGCTCCAACCACTATGCAAAGCACCCATAGACAAGTAATCGTGTTAGACTTCCACGGACCTCCATTTGCTTAATCAATCAAGTCTTAAAGAATGCAAAAAAAAAGTGCTGTGGGTTTATAAAAAGAAAACAACACGTGACTGGAGTATCAAAGTGTACTGTCTAGACATGACGGTCAATAAAAGGTGCCCTCATACAGCAAACATGCATGATACTTACTCATTAGACATGTTCTGTCTGCCTGCCCTGTGACTGAATTTGGACATAGCTTGTGTTAACGCATATTAATAAAGAGTAGGATACATCGGGTTCTATAGAAAAAACAGCAACATTGTATCACCGAGCTATAGTGTGATCTGTTGTCACTCCCTCTCCGCAGAAAGAATGCAACAAATTCATACAAAGGGCTGGTGAGGACTCATTGGTGCAATTTATTTATGGAATGTTTATACAGCAAATGTTTTAGGACAACCTCCTTTATTGATGGTAAAAACAATTCACATTTCTGCATTGATAAAGGAGAGTTTGCCCCAAATTCAATCTGAACCTTGGTCAGAAAAGAAAGACCTGTGATCTCTAACTCACCGATCAGATGAGCAGCCACTTGTTTAGTGCAGTTTCTCTGTTTACAATTATTCTTTTCATTTCCTGCAGGGAAAACAAAAAACGTTTTGTGGTTAAATGTTTAGGGCTTACATACCCCTGTTAGGCCCCTGTTCCCACTGTCCACTCTGGTGTCCCTATTTGCCGATGCTCAGACATTCTGTGTAGTATGAGCGTATAATGGAACTTTTAATCGGGTTAACAAACTCCATTAAAAAAAATTCCACTAAAATAAGTTTGTTCCCGGCCAGTACACACTTTGGGGGGATATTGCCCCGACACATTGTACAGCTTGTCAGCATTTAAAAGACCTGGTCCTCTCAAGAAGTTCACCTGCATCTCCTCCCGTGTGACAAATTTTTCTTTATGTTTTTATTGAGATGGATAATTTGGTGTGTGGTGCTTTCAATCATATCACAATTAGTGATGTCCCGAACTGTTCGCCGAACGGTTTGCGAACAGTTCGAGAACGGTTCGCGAACGGTTCGCCACGGACTCATCATTGAGTAAACTTTGACCCTGTACCTCACAGTCAGCAGACACATTCCAGCCAATCAGCAGCAGACCCTCCCTCCCAGACCCTCCCACCTCCTGGACAGCATCCATTGTGAAGCTGCATTCTTAGTGAGCTGTCCAGAAGGTGGGAGGGTCTGGGAGGAAGGGTCTGCTGCTGATTGGCTGGAATGTGTCTGCTGACTGTGAGGTACAGGGTCAAAGTTTACTCAATGATGAGTCCGTGGCGAACCGTTTGTGGCGAACCGTTCGGCGAACAGTTTGGGACATCACTAATCACAATTCAATTAATTTCTCACAATATAGTGTAAGAGAGTGAACCCTTTTATATCGAGATACATTGAATTGGCTTATTGCAGATCATATCAAGTTATTACTGACTTAATAAAAGTAAGGAACCCAGCATATTTTAACCTAAAAAAACATTAAAGAATCATAAATTAATTCAAGAGTCGTGTTACCTTTCTTCCGGTTACGGAGTTCTTCGTCATTCTGCAATAGAAAAAAAAAAAAAGAGTTATTGTCACATAATGTTACACGGATTCTTTAAAATTAGAAATCAGAGATGTAACTGGAAAATTTGAAGATAACTACACTTTGCTGTTTAGTGGATAACCCCTAAGTGATTTATCTAAGCATTGAGTGTGTTGAATGGAAAAGCAAATATATTACATTTACACAGAAAAAAATAAAACGGTTAAGTTGCAAATATAGCTGCGTTTAAAAATGTCTTTGATTTTGGCTAAATCTGATTTTCATATCGACCCACTATTCACTAGCGAATAAATCTGACACATCGCATCACATTTGATTGTTTTAGAAAGCGTGTCTTATTTTTGCCGCTTGTTGTCCTGTTTTCACATATGAATTAATCAGACAGAGTGATCTTTTATTTTTAGACACTTTGACAAGGTTTGTGGTTATTTTTGTCCGTTATTAATCACACCTTGATAAATTGAGGCTTCTGTCTTACAGTGTCAGAAAATAAGGCTCAGTCTGTGTGATACAGCGACATCTATTTACTAAGCAGTGAATTGGGGCGAGCTGGGAAATCAGTTTTAACAATTCAAGCAAAAAAAAAATATAACATGTGACTACAGTTGAGTTTGGGTATTTTTTCCAAATTAGCTATTTTGACCTAAATTTTCTATTTTCTTTTTTTTCAGTTAACTGCAGTTTAGCGAATTTACCCCAGCGTGCAGAAAACACTCCCATCATTAATTGCAAAATGTTTCTTTTTTATTCAAAGTGAACCAAAGCAGACCAACTGGAGGCAAATCGGATTTAGAGAATGTTTCCAGCTCGGCTTTTTTTACCTTGAATTTGAAATTCACTTTGAATTCTGCCTTTAGTGAATAATCCAGATAATATTCTCAAAGCGATATAATGTCTGACACTTTGTAGTTAAAATCAACCTGCAACACCAGCTTATTGCACACTCACAGTTATCAGTATCACAGTTTTGATCATTGGCAAAAAGTGTTTTTTTTAAGGGGATTTAAAAAAAAAGATATATTTAGTTGTGATTAGATGAGATCTGATTGAATTGAGGCCTAACGTTTGCAAATCGAGTGCACACACTTTTCGTTTAATGAATCGCCCCCCCCTTTTTTATCTTTTGGTGATGTGTACAATATACAAGTAACAGCTGGGTTACAGGAACTATAAATTGCCAAATATTTTACCCAACTAGTTCCTATTGGCTGCTTTCTAATCTACAACCCGACAAACCGATAAAGACTCATTTTGCTGTGTTTGAGTGATTTTGTACTGTTCAATGTTTTAGTCATTTTTCAGATCAAGTTATGCAAATGTATTTACTAAAGAAGTTTAACTGGCTGACTGAGCATCATGGAAGATGTAGTCCCTTATCTTCACTTTAAACTCACGTGTCCCTCTGTCTTGTTTTGTGTCCCTTTTTCTCTCCCATGTTACCCTACAGCCTCTCGGTAAACAGTAAATGGGCCCATTTGTTTAACTCCAGCTTCCCATCCTCTCTATCCCAGCTTGCTCTTCTCACTAAGAAAGACACTTTGATAAATTGGCTCTTTAGAAACAAATCAGAAAATGTATTTTTTATCCTATGTTAGGTTTTCATGAAAAGACCATCTTGTTCGGCTGTTATTTCATCAAATAATTTCAGTCTAAATGTATCCTGTAGGCCGTTCAGCTCTACATCTCCCATCCCTTGCCTATATCCCCCCTACTCCCCCTCCCCCCAATTACCCACAAGAACAAAATACTTGGGCAACGTATGGATGAACATGCTTGAAATGGAGCAATCTCCATGACAACCAATGGAATGTTCTGCTTATTGAAAAACAGCTCTTCATTCATAATCCCCATCATTCTATGTTTTCTAAATTCTCTATAGAAAACATCTCTCACCCAGATGCCCGTTTTTACCAATTAACTCATTTTAAAAAACAAATTCAAATTCACTTTAAATTCCAATAACTTTTTACATTACTGAAAAATCCTTTGCCCTGCTCTCTAACCCTCTTTGTCAACTCGATCTTCCCATTCCATTAACTCTGCACCCCCAGCCCCGATCCAACTTACAATTTTATTTTTGTTTACCCCCATCCTCTACCTATATCATACAAATCATAAGTTCAACAAAACCTGTGGTGACATGACTTTTTGCTGGAGTTACACACAGCAACACACAATGACGCACAACTTCTGTCAGATTCCACATAACTGGCATAGAGATAAAGGAAGCCTTCCGTCACTGGTACAAGCCAAATGCAGTTAGCATTCACCCCTTGAAGGAGTTAGCAGAGGCACAAAACGTAGGGAAATTACCTTAAAATGTCCCACAACTAAAATAAAAAATCTAATTTTCCTTTACATTTTTAAAAAATTGATGTTTAAAAAAAATATTTATCTATCATCAGCATACTTAGAAACAATAGAATTTTAAATGTATACTTCTCGCAAAACAAAAAAAAAATATATATATAAATGACAGACATCTTTAGATCTTAAGCCTGCGAGCAGAACTCGCTAAGATGACGGTATCACTGTTTATCTGGTCATCACACAAAGTCTTATAACTACCGTCTGCAGAATGTTTGGAGGTCAAGTCTTTTTGTAACACTATACGTATAACCAATGCCTATATCTGCCGTCTTACCTGTTTTTGTGTGTTTCTCTCTCTGGCCTCTGAAGCGGACGCAGAAAATATAACAATAAGCACTGCAAGCAGCGGTACCAGACACCCTTTCATTTTCAGTCTACTTTCTCTTAGTGAGTTGCTCTGCACAAACACTGCCTTTTAGAATGGCGAATGGGGATGCCCAATCACCACATCCTGTGCTGGGGATTTTACTATAAGCAGTGAGACTAGTGGAAAATCAAAAATCAATCACTTACATATATAGAAGGGACAATCCCTAATAGTGTTAGAAAAAATAAAAAATTTCTGTAAATGTCACCATTAAAGTCTATGGGAATTTTGTACATATATTATTCGGAAATGTTTTATAGTAGTACTGAATCATTTGGAGAGCTTATTGAAACTAGGCCATTTTTAGAAATATCTACAAATTCCTTCAGTTTTGTGGTGGGGGAGAGCAAGGGGGAGGCTGGATTTTGAGGGTGACGTGTCGACAGCTCAAATTATTTTCCACATTGGGTCTTGTTTAACACTATAGCAGACGACTGTGTTAGTCCAAGAAAGGACGGTGTGTGGCTTTTGCCTACTTACATCTAATCCACCGACTACAATTCCCATTATCCCTTTACTTCCTGATGTTCTTGTTGGGTGCTGATGTTGGTGAATTCTTGAAAAATCACACTTTAGTGAAAGACTTTGAAAGTATATCCAGCTTTGCTAACCTGTGTGATCTCCTCATATTTTTTTTTACTAGTTGAGCTATTTGGGCGATTTTCTTTGAATTCCTCTCGATTCACATCAGAACGTCACACATCAAACAGTACATTAATAGCAGACTGCTCCTTTAACATATATTATAACGCAGAGCTGTGAAATGGACCAATCAGAAGACAATGCGAAACGGAGGACAAATCACTGATTTAAATGTAAATGTGATGTCAGCAACTTTATTGTCAACATGAATCCAGATTCTGCTGACCCATTACTAAATATGGCATACATAGCTTCAAACATGCTTGTCCTGTACTGATGGAGGTACATATGGCTAACTGTAACACAGAACGACAATGGGACCAGATAATACATTGAAGCTCCAAAGTTACAGGAATTAGAACTATGGTGACATATTCTAAGTTTTCAGGAGAGCAAAGGGGGTCGTTAGGGGTGAGCTGGTGTGGGCTGAAGCCCCTAGAAGGGCCTAGAATTGGCATTTAGCAATGAAAGGGTTACAGGAGAAGAGGAAGATGGCATTTAGTAGTGAAAGGGTTACAGGAGAAGAGGAAGATGGCATTTAGTAATGAAAGGGTTACTGGAGAAGAGGAAGATGGCATTTAGTAATGAAAGGGTTACAGGAGAAGAGGAAGATGGCATTTAGTAATGGAAAGAGGTGGCATTTAGTAATGAAAGGGTTACAGAAGAGAAGAGGAAGATGGCATTTAGTAATGAAAGGGTTACAGAAGAAGAGAAAGATGACATTTGGAAACTGTGAATAAGATAGGTAGGGGAGAGGGACAAAAGAGAGAGGCACTTAGGAATAATGCACAAGAGACATCCATTAGAAAATAGAATATTAAAAACAATATGGAAGATGTGAGAGCTTGTCTGGGAGGAAAGAGAATATAAATAAGAAGCAATAATGTGCTGGGTGGGGAATTACGGGGTAGAAAGTGTAAATGGATTGGGGTAATGAGATTAGAAAGTAGAGAGATGGAGAGGACAGAGCGTAAAGGAGGTAAGAAAGTAGAGGGATGGAGAGGACAGAGCGTAAAGGAGGTTAGAAAGTAGAGGGACGGAGAGGACAGAGCGTAGAGAGTTAGGGAGGCAGGGATGGAGAGGACAGAGCGTATGATGAGAGACGACAGATGATATTAGAGAGTAGAGGAGTGGAGAGTTTAGACAATCAGTGAGTTTAGAAAGTGGAGGGTTGATGAGGTTTGACAGCAGAATAGTGATGAGTTTAGAAGTAGATGATCGGTGAGTTTAGAAAGTAGAGGGGTGATAAGCTTTGAAGCAGATGATTGGTGAGTTTAGAAAGTAGAGAGTTGATGAGTTTTGAAGTAGATGATCGGTGAGTTTAGAAATTAGAGGGGTGATCAATTTAGAAAGTAGATAATCGGTGAGTATAGAAAGTAGAGAGTTGATAAGTTTTGAAGTAGATGATCGGTGAGTTTAGAAAATAGAGAGGTAATAAGTTTTGAAGTAGATAATTGGTGAATTTAGAAAGTAGAGAGGTGATGAATTTAGGAGTAGATCGATGAATTTAGGATGTATGTAGGTGATAAGTTTTGAAGTAGATGATCGGTGAGTTTAGAAAATAGAGGGGTGATAAGTTTTGTAGCAGATTAGAGAGTAGATGGCAGAAAGAAGAAGGATAAGAGCTTAGAGAGTAGAGTGGTTGGAATATTAGCTATATGGAGATTTAAGAGACAAAAGGGATTGAGAAGGGAGGATAGATGTGGGTAGGTTAGAGAGTAACAGGTAAGGTAAGGTGAGGTGGGAGAGTTAGGTCTTAAGGAAGCAAAAAATTAAATGTGGTTAGATATGAGATAAACAGGGGTTACAGGATAAAGAGTAGAGGGTTGGGGAGCTTGGAGAGTATGGGGATGGGGAGCTTGGAGAGTAGGGGGATGGGAGCTTGGGCAGTACAGGGATGGGGAGGTAGGAGAGTATGGTGATAGGGAAGTTAGATAGGTTAGAGTTAGACAGTAGATGGTAAGGTAGGAGAGTAGAGAGAGAGGGTAGTGGAGTTAGAAAGGAGTGATGTATGTTGGGAATGTGACAAGAGGGCAGATGAGGTGGTTAGATAGAACTAGGGAGGTTAGAGAGTATCGGGGAGAAGAGGTTAGAGAGCAAAGCAGTGGAAAGGTTAGAGAGAAGGGGTAGTAAGGTTAAAGCGGTGAGAAGGCCTAGAGTAAAGAGGATGCTAGAGCAGTGGAGGGGAGGCTTAGAGTAAAGTTTGAGGAGGTTAGAGCAGTGGGGGTTAGTTTGGTGAGGGTTAGAGCAGTGGGAAGGTTACAGTAGAGGTTTGGGGAGGTTAAATTAGTGGGGGGGTTAGAGGGAGGGTTAAAGCAGTGGAGGGGAGGCTTTGAGTAAAGGTTTGGGGGTGCTAGAGCAGTGGAGGGGAGGCTTAGAGTAAAGGTTTTGGTAAGGCTTAGAGCAGTGGATGTTAGAGTAAAGGTTTGCGGAGGTTAGAGCAGTGGGGGTAGAGTAAAGATTTGGGGAGGATAGAGCAGTCGTGGTAGAGTAAAGGTTTGGGGAGGGTTAGAGTAGCGGAGGGGTCAGAGTAAAGGTTTGGGGGTGCTAGAGCAGTGGAGGGGAGGCTTAGAGTAAAGGTTTGGGGAAGGCTTAGAGCAGTGGGTGTTAGAGTAAAGGTTTGTGGAGGTTAGAGCAGTCGTGGTAGAGTAAAGGTTTGGGGAGGTTAGAGCAGTGGGGGATGTTAGAGTAAAGATTTGGGGAGGATAGAGCAGTCGTGGTAGAGTAAAGGTTTGGGGAGGTTAGAGCAGTGGGGGGTGTTAGAGTAAAGGTGTGGAGAGGATAGAGCAGTGGGGGGTTAAGGGTTGTGGAGGTTAGAGCAGTGGGGAGG